ATCGAGCTAACTATGGTCAGAACAAACTGCCAATTCTGTCTCCTGGCAATTTTTACCCAGTGACACAAAACAACACCTGAAGCAAGTCCATTCTGAAGATAAATATTCAGAGTTCCCTGTTTTCTCCAAGTCTTCAGAAGAACTTATTTTCATATAAGGTTAACTCCTCTCCGAATGATCAGATAGATTTAGCAAGTAAAAATATAGGATACCCTAGCTGAATTTGAGTTTCAGATCAACAAGGAATCCCTTTTTCAGTATAAGTATGCTCCTTGTAGTATTTGGGGCATACTTATACTAACAAAGGATACCTTGCTTATCTGAAATTCAAATTTGACTGGGCATCCTGTATTTCTAGCAACCCTCCCTTGGATGCATTTTAGTTTGCAATTTCTTTTTTTGAGAGAGAGAAACATCGATTGGTTGCTTCATGCACGTGCCCCAACCGGGAATCGAACCCTCAACCTTTTGGTGTAAAGGATGACGCTCCAACCAAATGAGCCCCCTGGCCATGGCGCAAATGTTTAAGGTAATATATTTCAGTTGAACCCAGAAGTAGAGCTCGTGTGGGTGAGAAAGGCAGAAAGGGGAATTGCCCACCCCTTCTTCCCCACCCCCACCCATGCTTCTGTGTGAAGACTAGGATAAAATGCTTTCAAACGCCTTTGCGGAGCACAAAAAGCCATCTCCCCTAGCTTGGCGTCAGGTTGGACATCTTTGGGTACCACCAAGGCTAGCAGTTCTGGTCTTAGTAAAGAATCTCTTCCAACATCTCAAAGCCCCTCTGACTATTTCTAACTTGCTGTGGCAATGCTTCTTTTCATAATCAACCCTGCGGTCTCCATTCATTGTGTGAGGTTATTTTCAGCCCGATAGATAGCATACTTGCAAAATACTATGTGCACAATGGCTCCTGCGTCTCCTATCTACTTACCTCCCTTTGAATTTCCTTCCCGCTTCTGGCACCAATCCTTTGGATTCCTTTGCAGCATTCCAGCTCTTTCACTACCTAAAGCTAGAATCTAAGCTTGTCTAGGGCAAGGGCCAAGTACACTGTTAACATAACAACACCTCACTTTTGTAGAGAGCTTTTATTGCAAAAGCCTCGTCCGGTTCCGAAGTCTTCGTCTCCCCGCGCACTCTTCCCCACCGGTGTCCCTGCAGGAGTGCAGGCGAGGGGTGGATGCTCAGGGACGCTTCTGGCCTGGCGAAAGGGGAATCCGGGGCAGTTGTAGTCATCGAAGAACACTCTCCACTATTCTCTCATTGCAGTCTTCTAAGGCCAGAGGTTACAGAGCACAGCCCGAGCTTAACCCATTCCAAACAGACAAACAGATGAGACCCCTTGCTGTTTTCGAGGCTTGTCAGAGGAGCATTCCGCAGCGTGCCCCAAGGCCTCACCAATACCAGTTACTTCCATCAGGAAATGAAGGCTTCCTCTCCCACCCCTCCCTGTTTAACTCTTAATTCCTTTCTCTAACTCTAGGATTAAATCTTAAATTTCTGATAAATAATCCCTTGTTTAACTTCAGTAGGGGAAATATACACCTGGAAACAAAACAAGAACCATTTTAATGAAAATAAGTAGTGGAATGAAGTATTGCCAGGAAACACCCCCCTTTCCCTGCCACTCCGCTGAAGTAGGGTCAGGGCTGTCTGGAGACACTGTGTGGGCCGGGGGGCGGGGTGGGGGGCGTGGCTGGCAGGGTGCAAGGGAGTGGTGAAGGTGGCAAAGCTAGCACGCCAAGTCTGGGCAAATCCTAGCAGCAATTCATTCAGTGGGGCCTTTTACCTTTCCATTCTTTACTTTAAATAATAAGGCGATTTTACTGATCTCAGCAGGAAAACCTGTGAGGAGTGTGAGGGTGAGGACCCTTACGAGCTTCTCTGTGGCAATGCCTACAGACACACACATGCAATCGAGAGACGATGCTGGCTGGCTACCGTGACCAGAGCCTCTGAGAGTCACTGTGACGTGGCTAAGGAAACCCGTGGCGGGTCTGGCCTCCTTGGGGATGGGTGTGTGTCAGAACTGCTGGCGAATGAGTCTTCCTGCCCCAGGCAAGCCCGCAGACTGGCAAACCAAGGACGATTGATTGGGACAAAAGCCTTACCTGTAAAGGAGGTTACTCTCTCTGGCATATAAATATCTTTCATAATAAAAGCATCATCAGACTACAGAGCCATGAATGAACAAAGTGTGCTGGGCCGCTGCAGGGGCTGTTTCTTCCGTTAGAAATGCATCTTATCCTTTGGCAGTCAGCGCTATCCACAGGGTGTGTAGTTATGACCAACTGTCTGGAATCATTAATTTATGTTCGCTTTCTGCTACAAAAATGGCTGTCTTGGGCTGCTGCTCATGACGCAGGTGACTGCCCACCACCAACAGGCTATCCACTTTAGTCCTCACTCTACTTACCCTGCCTCAACAGACTCATTCATTCTTTCTGTTTCAACTGTTACCCACTGTTATTTCCATGATTGTAAGAATGCGCCATTAATTTAATAGTACCTAAGGGTGGGAAGGGGAGCGGAGAATCACTATCATATCAAATATACAGCATCTATTGTCAGCTCATCCCTACACCTCACAGCTAAAGACCTACTGATCCTTCAGGATTCACTTTACAGCCCTCCCCTTTTCACATCCTTTCCCAGGACTGGCCACGCCCCTGTTTCACAACTGCACCTCGCACACGTGCCGCACCGGTATAGTCATGATGCACAGACTGCAAGCACCTCAAGAGCAGATATCGTCTTATTTGTCTCCGTATTCCCAGGGTCTGGTCCGGTCTCTGCCATTAATTCACTCTATAAATACTGATTGAAGACCTACCATGTGCCAGGCACACTCCCAGACTTGCACTTGTCCGTTAAACAGAAGGGTTTTTTTTTTTTTTTAGCAAACATCAACTCTATGGTGACACGGGAGATACAAAATGAGAATGTGACTATCTCTTTGGCCCTTTCATTATTAGGCAGAGATGGGAGCAGGATGTACGTTGTGCTGCCTTAGTCAGCTCAGGCTGCTCCCCAAAGACTGAGTGGCTTAGGACACAAACACTTTGTCCTCACAGTTCTGGAGGCCGGGAAGTCCAGGGTCAAGGTGCCAGCAGACTCTTCCAAGTGAGGGCCTTCTTCCTTGCTGTGTCCTTACATGGCAGAGGATTCGTCACCCCTCTATGTCTCTTCTTATAATGGCACCAATCCCAGTCCCAAAAGGCTCCATTTCAGGACCGAATTGCCCCCTCCCCCACCACTACCACTGAGGTCTCTTCTCCAAATACCACTGGGGATCAGGGCTTCAGTCTATGAATTTAGGGGAGAGGTACACATATTCATTTCATAGCATGTACTGAAATAAATGTGATTAAGTGCCCAAATGTGTGGTTCACACATGAAGTGCTGGGGGTGGTTAAGAAAAGGAAAGATCTGAGCTTCTGGCGGGTCCAGGCCTTACTCTTCGCTGGAGCTCCAGCATCTCCCGTGGAAGAACGTTAGCCATAAATTTAAGGTCAATTGAATTAAACTGAAGAACTTCCCAAAGAAATTCTAAACGATTGTATGGGACAGGAAGTGGGAAACAATGGCAGGGTGAGCGAAGAAAGGTTTGGTGGCAAGAATGAATTAAAATTTTTTTATTATGTTAGAATATAGAAAACACAGAATTTTGAGTGCACAGTGTGGTGGTGTTAAGTACATTCACATTGTTGGGCCAGCGGGGATGAATTTTTAGGGATCCCTTTCACACACGCATCTTACACACCTGGCTGATCACACAGTTGTTCGTGGAAATAATGGTGCATCAGCCTAGGAGCAGCGGTCTCCTCCTCAGCGTGGGCAGTTCCCCCACCAACGTCTGAGACTTGTTTTGCATCTGTAATAAGAGGCTGCCCTGTGGAAGGGCAGGGCCTCGAGGGCTGCTCCCTGGGTGTTCGAATCCCCTTGTGAAGTTTTAAACAATGGGCACTAATCCCCCCCTCAAACCGAGGCTTTTGTATTCAAATCAACAGCACAAAACCCTATTGTGGGGAAAAAAGAATCTTTATTGGCAACCAGTCGTGTCTACTTAAAAGCACCAAATGTAAAGTCTCAGGAGGGCATTCTCTGTGCAGTTCTGTAGCTATTAATACACTTGGTGTCTTTTTGTTTTGTTTTGTTTTTTGATGAGTGTGTTTGTGGAATGTATTCTAATCAGTGCCACAGGCACCCCGGTGGGGGATGGGGGGATGTGCCAGGGAAGGCCAGGCCCACCCAGTTGCAGGGCAGGCAGTGGAGCCTGTGATATCTGGGTTCTGGCCTTGCCACTTCGGGGGATCCCTGGGCAAGTCACCTTAACATTTAAGGCCTCAGAACTATGAAGAGGTTGGAATCCACAGCTTTTGAAGTCCTTCCACCTCCGCCCTAACTGAATAATATTTAGCAAGGGCCTATCTGCTCATTGGTTGGGTGCTTAGCTTGGGGCCAGCGGGGGAACGTGCGGGCACTTAGCTGAAGGAACAGTGGACAAGCGTGGGTGACTCCACAGTGGTGGAACGCAGGGTGTCCCGGAAAGGAGCTAAAGTGATGGGATTTCCAGACGAGTCCTTCCACGGCCAACTTTTAAAGGTCGGAGGAAACTTTGCCTTGGGGCGGGGGCCCGAGAGGAGTGCTGGGTGGGCTCCACCACCTCCTCCCCTTTAAGCGGGCGGCCCCGGGCTCCCTCCGTTACCTGGAGCGGGGAGGGGCTTGGGAAAGTTTGTGTTTGTTGCTGGCAAAGCGCCCGATGGGAGGCGCGGGCGGGCGGGCAGGCGCTGCGGTTCTTCCCTTTTGCTTTCGGGAAGCGGCCGGGGCTGCACGCTCGGCGCGGCGGGGCGGCTCTGGTGCCCGGCTCCCGGTGCCCGGCGGGCCGGAGGAGGGCGGGAAGGAGGTAGGCGGGGGGCGGGAGCGAGGGGCGCGCGTACGCCTAGCGCTGGGATTGCTCGGCTGGCGGGGAGAGCGGAGCAGGCGCGAGGCCCAGGCGGAGGAGCGCTGACTCTGGAGCAGCCGGAGCTGGAGGAGGAGGAGGAAGCGAGGAGGAGAGGCGGCGGGGAAGGAGGAGGAGGCGGAGAGTCGCTCCCGCCCGGCGAGCATGGGGCGCCTGGCGCCCAGGCCGCTGCTGCTGGCGCTGCTGTCGCTGGGTGAGTGCGCGCGGGGCTCGGCGGGGCGCGGGGGACCGGCGGGCCCCGAGGGCGCTCGGCGGGGCGCGGCTGTGGCGCGCGGCCTGGGGCGCCGAGGGGACCGGGGCCGCTCCCGGGAGATCGGCCGGGTACGCGGGCGGCGCAGCCGGGCGGAGAGCGGCCGCCGGGCCACCGGGAGCCAGGCGCGAATCCGGCCGGCCGCACGCGGGGCGTCAGTCCCCGCTCCGCTAGGCCGAGCCTCGCCCCCCACACGTGCGGGGGGAGTGGCCCGTGACCGGTTGCCCCGAGCCGTCCCTACCTGTTGGCCGCCAGGAGCTCGGCTCACCTTGAACTGCCGGCTCGGAAGGTGCCTGCGGTCCCTGGCCGGTGTCCTCAGCTTGGCGGCGGTAATAGGCGCCTTTGATCTGCCCAGCCGTCGCACACGCCAACCCAGGCTGAGTTGCCTTTCTAGGGACGCGGGAGAATCAACCAACTTCGTTCTACGAAGGTCTTTGGGTGGCCCAGAGCGCTGCAATAGAAATCGGTGTGCGAGCCCTTCTGTCCTGTTCACGGTGGCTAGAGCTTCTGCCTCAGGCTTTTCCTTTATTTCTTCTTGAAGGTGCCTCCCTCCATATTTACACACAAAGACCTAGGAGCCTTGGCTTCTCCAACTTTTCCTACCTGTTACTTTTCCTTCATTTACTCTCCCATGCCTTCCACCCTCCCCAAACCTTGGTGCCTCTTGATAATTTGACCCAGCACCCTCCCCCAACCCAAGGAATCTCTGGTGGGATTTTTCCTCCCCTTTTTCCTTTTATTCCATGCGCACAGACACCATCTTCACATATACATATGGTTGTCTTAAATGGCTATAGTAACATAACCATGTGGTTATCAGCCACAGAAAAACATCTGTTTATTAAGTGCCTACCACGGTACCCAGGCCTGACCCTTAAACGCTGCGATATTCTTGGATCCTTTTGGTCTGTGTCGACTAGAACGCAATAAATCCTCCCACCCCACCGTGGGTTTCCTTCCAAGCCCCTGGAGAAGACAGAATCTTCTACAGAATCTTCTGTAGCGCGCATGGTGTGTGGTGCCTGTCCCAGCCAGGCCCCAGCTGCACCAGAGTAAATGACTACTCTGCACTTACGGTCAGAGGGTCCCAGTGGAGGCCTTCCGTGGCCACTCCCGGCCTGCCGGCACCAGGGCTAGCTCGCCCCGCCCCCCATGACTCCTGCTGCTGCTGGGCGAGCCTTTCTAGCTGCTACTGTGTTTTCTTCCTTCACCCCTGAGGGGTTTTTTTTGGAACTCATCCCCCGCCCCCCCCCCCCCCCCCCACCCAGGAGACCTGATCCAGCCACATAGCTTTAGCTGCAACCATGTGCAGGAAGCTTCCAGATCTTTCACTTAGTTCTGTAGCATTTCTTCCATGGTCTGGGATCCTAGTGTGTTTATTCTTTCCTGTTCCTCTGGGACCTGTGTGAGATCCTGTGCGTTACAAACTGCTGGTGCACACTGCTGATGGCCAGTGTTTGCACAGATTGTGCCTGCGCAGCTCTGGAGTCGCTGTTCGCTTTCTGTGAGAATGACTCCCCCTAGAGTTGTGCAGGGCACAACCGGTGTACCAGTTAAGGTGCTGGGGTCAGAGTGAAGTTTGAAGAAAAAAAAAAATGTCCTTGAGTAACTCTGATGAGGCAGAAAAAGGGAGAGGGGAGGGGCCAAAGTGAAGCTGCCGAAAGCAAAAACAGAGGGTCCGAAAGCAAAAACAGAGGGTCCGAAAGCAAAAACAGAGGGGCGGACAGCACAGCTTGGGGAGGGCTTGGTTGTATACCAGGGGCTCCCGCCCTGACTGGGCATCTCCTGTTGACTACACAGAGGGAATGTCTGTGGTGTCTCCAGCCAATGCCTTTCCTCCTAACAGTTTCTTGGACTTGAGCATGGGTGACTCTGCCCGCCCCCCCCAAGAGAACCTCACTCGGTGTGGCTTCAGCCTGACCCCTGGGATGCCCTCCCTGTTGTACCACTCTAGCGCTGTCCTGATTCCTGACACTTAATATGTTGATAAGCAAGATCATCTTTCCTCTTGTATTGCAACTTGGGTATAATCTTGCTGTCACTTTCTTTGACCTCCACGTTCACACTGTCCCTCAGTTCTGGGGCTTTTTCCAGAGTGCAGACTCCAGCTTCTTCCTGTTTCTATAGCTAGTCTTCTAGCCCAGGTTCTGATTCTTCTTCACACAGCTTGGTTGACTTTTTCCTCCAGCTCCTGTTCTAGGGTTATTATTTTCCTAAAGGGTGAGTGTGGGGGAGGGAGTATCTATTGCATGTTGGTTCTTCATGATTTTCTTACAAGCACGTTTCCCTTGTGTCCTCTCCGCTCCAGGCTTCTCTTTGATTCAGACTTCATTCTAAGTAATAACCGGTTTGCTCTCCCTTTACCTAGAAGATTTGTGAACCTTCTGGCTTTATCATTTCCCTGGCCTTGGAATGCCCCTCCTGCTTCTCCATTCTTGTCCATGTTCTCCCCAAAACTCACTTCCTCTACAAAACTTCCCAGACTAAGTCTATCAGCATCACATCAGAATCCACTCAGCTTCGCAGAGCAAGTTTTCACTCCTCATGCCTGTGTCTGACTTATTTTGTTTAGCCATTCGATACGGCATTTCTCGAATGTCCATTCGAGTCCGTGAGAGTGTGCAGACAAATGCCTCCCTGAATGGTTGGTGGAGGTGGGTGACAGGTAATACAACAGCTAACTACAGGACAGAATGAAAGACCTATATGGAAGCCGGCTGCTGGTAGGAAGCAAGGAAAAGTGTGATTCGTTTTGACTTGGGATTGGGGTAGATTTTGCTGAAGAGGCAGTGTTTGGGCTGAGCCTTGAGGGACAATAAGAATTTTGAAAGGAGGGATGGAAGAGCATTCCAGGCTCTGAGGAAAAGCATCAGGTGTGGATGAGTGAAGGTAAATGGCGTGAAAGGCCCGTGTGACTGGAGGTGGGAGGAGGGGTGTAGTGGGAGAGCAAGCCTGAAAGGAGGGTGTGGGGTGGGTTCTGAAGGCTTCTTGTGCTGCACTGAGGAGTCTGGACCGTGAGGGGTGGGTTTGTAGGCCTTGTGGGTGCTGCCAGGCAGCCCTTGCTCCTCCCATCCGCACACTGATGTAGCTCGCTGTATGTCATTGTCTGTTCCTGGCCCAAATCCCCACTGTGATTATAACATCTGGGCCAGGGACCATGCTGGTCTTGTTCACTGTAGTATCCTTATTACTAATAGGGTGCCTGGCATACAGTCGGTATTCAATAAATATTGGCTCTGAATACATGTATACATCCTTTTATCTGTGGGTAATGGGTAGCCACTGAAAGTTTGCACAACAACGCAATCTGTTTGAGGGGGGCAGGCCCTCACTAGCATGAAGCATGGAGAGTGGAAGGTATGGAGATTAAGCAATTTTTAATTCACCTTGGCTGGTGTGGCTCAGTGGACTGAGTGCGGGCCTATGAACTGAAAGACTGGCGGTTCGATTCCCAGTCAGGGCACATGCCTGGGTTGTGGGCCAGGTCCTCAGTAGGGGCATGCGGGAGGCAACCAATTGATGTTTCTCTCACACAGTAATGTTTATCTCCCTCTCTTTCTTCCTCCGTTCTCCTCTCTCTAAAAGTAAATAAATACAATTTTTTTTTAAAAAGATAGTTTTAATATGTCTTTTAAAAAAAGTTGCAAATCCACTGACATATTTTTTTTTTTAATCCTCACCTGAGGACATGCTTATTGATTTTAGAGAGAAGAGAAGGAAGGGAGAGAGAGAGAGAAACATTGAAGTGAGAGAGAAACATTGATCTGTTGCCTTTTGCATGAGCCCCAACCAGGGATCAAACCTACAAGCTACGTATGTGCCCTGACCAGGAATTGTACCCGTGACCTTTCAGTTTACGGAACACTGCTCCAGTGGGCTGAGCCACACCAGCCAGGGCTGAAGTAGTTTTTACATGACAAAAGCATTACATCCATATTTTAAAATTCATGTAACATAGAAGAGCATTATATTAATTAGGCAAGCCAAACTGCTCTAACAAATAGACCTAAAGCACAGTGGTTCAGACAATGGAGTGCCTTTCCTGGTGCTCCAAGGGGGTGTTTCAAATGAAAAGTTTGGGTGGGACCCCCTGCCTCACACAGCTGTTCTGACTCCCACGCCGGTGGCAGTTCCGTTGTTTTCAACCGTGGTTTCTGAGGTCACTTCTGTTGTCCCTGTTGCCTTTCCAGCCCCATCAGGGGTGAGAGGGCATGGAGGAACGTGCATGGAGGCTTCACTGCCAAGCTTGGGAGTGGCACATACCATTTCCACACACTTTCCATTCCACAGGACTCGGTCCATGCCACGCTAGCTGCAAGGGAAGCTGAGAAATGCAGAGTGGCCCCGTAGGAGGAAGGTACCGTTATTTTCTCCATATTACAGGTGAGGAAACTGACGCCCGGAAAAGTTAAGGAGTGTGTCCGGTGTCGTCCCAGAACTCTATACTGCCTCTGCTAAGGCAAAGTTGGCTTACGGTCGCCGTAACCCGATGCTGGGTATTTCTTGAGGTTAGTGTAGGTGAAAAAGCAAAAGTGGTTTGAAAGCAAAAGTGTGGTTAAAAATAAGAGGGTCTGGGGTAAGTGCAGTTCAGGCACGATTCCTGCAGCCCCTTGGCAGGTCACCACACCACCTCTGAGAACAGGGACTGAAATGGAGCTCCCTCCAGAGAGCACTGAAGCAGGAAGCCTGGCAGGAGGAACCCCCATGAATTCATCCAGCCTAACGGCCTTTGGAGTGCTATGGCCTTCAGAGATTCCTTGGCACTCATTTTAGCCTTGTTAACAGAATTGCTGTATCTGCCAGGCTGATTAATGCCTGCCCTGGCTATAATTATTCTTATTAGCCTGCTGAATAGGAACTCCTAGTTGTCAGTGCTCATTCCTTACAAGGCAGTTGGGCTGGTCGGCATTTATATGGCTATTTTGTTTTAGTGACGAGTGCGG